GAGAGGGAGGGAGAGAGGGAGGGAGAGAGGGAGGGAGGGAAGAGAAAAAAGAAAGAAAGTAACTAATTTTAAGAAACTCACTCACATAATTGTGGAGGTTGGCCAGTCTGCAATCCACAGAGCAGACCAACTGGCCGAAAACCCAGGTTGAATTTCTATGTTATGGTCTTGAGATAGACTCCCTTCTGTGGGAAACATCACCTTTTTGCTCTTAAGGCCTTCAACAGATGGGATGACCCCCCCCCATTCCTACATTATAGAGGCCCATTTGTGTTACTTAAAGCCAAAAGGTCATATGTGTTAATCAAGTCTACAGAAACCTCCACAGCCACCTCTAGATTAGAGTCTGACCATACAGCTGGCACCATGCTATAAAATTAACTATCACAGGGTCCAAAGAATAGGGAAGCCCAGCTGGGCATGTCCATTTTGACTTCTGAGGGATGCTTACCAGTCTCCTGATCCCATTTTGAGAGAAGGCAGTGCAGAGAACCCTCTTCTCTACAACACACTCTTTATTACCTAGAGATAAAAATGAGTAGAAAATATTTGTTCCTTTACCTTAAGTGAACATCTTATATTAAGAGATCCAGGAGAAATATTTTCCTACCAAGGGCCATTTGGATATTTATAGCATCATTCGCAGGCCATACAAAATTATCAACTTAAAAATTAGCTATGAAAAAAGCTCCTAGATTTATTGAATTTCAAGTCCTGCCTATGGTTGCCTTGGCAGGGCCAGACCAAATGATTTTAAGGGCCATATATGGCCCACAGTCCAGACATTCCCCACCATTGCCTTAAGTGGACACACATATATAGAGACCCACTGTTCTGGGAACATCTGCCTCCCTCAGACTCTGACTGTTGAGCAGTGATATTTGGGGACATTTCATACATGTGCATCACCAAAAAGACAGGGAAAATAATCACCTGGCCCTGAAAGTAGGGTGTTAGTCTCAGAGAAGCTGAAGTTTGGCAAAAATATTAACACCAATATAGGTATTGTGATCTTCTTTGGAGGTATAAACAAAGAAGTACTAGACCACAGACCTAATAAGCAGGGAAGACTGAAGTGGAGAGTCTCACTTCCCATTGTGCCTTTGTCTCCTGACTCTCAAGAATGAGCTTTTAGACTTGGAAGCCATAGGAAAAAATGCTCAGATAGAAACCCACACCATCCTCCCTCAAGTAAGAAGTGGTGAGAGAGAGAGTGCCGCTGCTCATCCTCGTAGTGAAGGCGACTCTCTGGAAGCCATGTTCACAAGGCTGGGTACAGCTGCAGCCTCATGAACCACCTCTGCGCCACAGGCAAATCCCTTTTGCCAGAGGTTTTGGGTGGTATTCAAAACAGTAGGGGAGTAAATATAAATTTACTACCTTCTATAATGCATTTTCTTGGTGCACTTACAAAGCAGGTCTTGTCTTTAGAAGGACAGCTCCCTCTATTTTATTTACGACATCCTTTCCCCCTGGGACCTGAACATTAAAGGCCAGGCTGAGAGACACAGGTCTGTGTTCCTCCCTGATGGCCACGATCCTGAGTGGATCAGGCTCCACCAGTGAGAATTCCTTGCCCTCATTTGCTTACAAGTGCATTTTCAAAACTGTATGTGGCTATTAAACACCAGGCCCTGCTCTACCTGCTGGGGATTCAGCAGTGACCACACAGTCCCAGGCGTCCTGGAGTGACCATTTTTGCAAACAAACTTCTTGCAAACATCACCCCAGTGGTCAAATGTGTCCAAATAGGTCTGCTTCCAGTTTAAATTCAAAATGGGCTCTCTTACTCCTGCTACATTATATACATTTTAAAATACTTTTCATCCTCACCCCAGGATATTTTCTCCATGGCTTTTTCAGAGAGTGGAAGGGAGGGAGGGAGAGAGAAACATCAGTGTGAGAGAGACATACAGATTGCTTGCCTCTCACATGAGCCCCATTTAGTGTTGAAAATATTATAAATGTCCCCCTTTGCCTCCATTGATCCCCTTTACCTCACTATTGTCTGTGTCCATGGGTTGTGCATATACATTCTTTGGTTAATCTCCCCCCCACCCCAACTCCCACCCTTCCCTATGAGATTCCTCAGTCTGTTCCATGCTCCTATCTCTCTGGATATATTTTGTTCATCAGTTTATTTTGTTCATTAGATTCCACCTATGAGTGAGATCATGTGATATTTGTCTTTCTCTGACTGGCTTATTTCACTTAACATAATACTTTCTAGGTCCCTCCATGTTGTATCAAAGGGTAAGGAATCCTTTGTTACAGCTGCATAGTATTCCATGGTGTACATATTTGAGAAGATGCTTGAAATGATTTCAATCTTCTTGAACTTGTAGAGATTTGTTTTGTGTCCCAACATGTGGTCTATCTTTGAGAATGTCCCATGTGCACTTGAGGAGAATGCCTATTCTGCTACTTTGCAGTGGAATGTTCTGTAAATGTCAATTAAATCCATCTGATCTAGTGTGTCATTTAGAGTCACTGTTTCCTTGTTGATTTTTTGTCTGGAAGATCTATCCAGTAAAGTTAGTGGGTGTTCAAGTCACCTACTATGACTGTATTGCTGTCGATCGCTCCCTTAAATTCCTCCAGAAGTTTTTTTTCAGCATGCCTGAGTCTTTTGTTCTGATGTGGAACTCTTGTGACAGCACATATTTGGGTCATGTTTTCTTATTCATTTAGCTACGCTATGTTTTGATTGGAGCATTTAATCCATTTATATTTAAGGTTATTATTGATAGGTCTTTATCTATTGCCATTTTAATTCTTTATGCCTATGTTTCCCTCTCTCTCTATTTCTACTTCTAATTACAGCAGTCCCTTTAACATTTCCTGCAATGCTGGTTGGTGGTGATAAACTCCGTTAGCCTTTTTTTTTTTTTTT